CTATCCATATGCGGTTTTGTTTATAAAAAGTTTAATGCGAGAAAATAGTATTCTACTCTTTGTCTATTTTACATCAGTTCATATAAAAATTCTAAGAAAGTTTCGAGGCATTGTGTTTGCTAAGATGATATAAATTCAAAAACCCATTCGCCTTATATTTTCAAGCATTCACTACATTAAAGTGATAAAAAAGACATGGCAAGAGAGATAAAACTTTTGTTTCGTTCGCAACGTAGAAGACAGATGATACTTGTTATTGTTTAATGTATACATGAGTTTCGCCATAACCCACGGTGTTATTATTCACGCTGGACGAATAAGAAAAAATGAGAAAGATGCCTATGCTTGTATTTAAAAAATGCACGTTTGTAGCGTACATTAGTAGTATAAGTAGCGTGATATAAATACAAATTAGACAAATAACTTTAAAATTTAAAAGAAACGAAAATCATTTCTTTTTGTGATTTTTACATGCAAAACCGTATGATTTGCAAATTCCCATAGTTTTGTAAAAAGTCGGCAAAGTTGAAGTCCCAATCCCCCTATATTCCTGGCAAACAACGGTGTAATTGGTCTTGTCCCTCTTATTATCTTTTTGTATTTTTTTGGTATTCTGATGTGGGAATGTGGAGACTTTAAGGAATATTACAAGCTTACGACGTAAGTACGGAGCATTTTTATTATAGTAGCAGATTACAGTGCAACGATATAAAGGGAAAAGCTTTGAAATTTGAACGGGAATATGAAAGGGAAGGTTACAAAAATTGAAAAAAAAAATATTTCGAAATTTTAATGTAATTTTGTAGAAAATAAGCAAATAAGCCTATAAAAAATTATTTTCTTTTTATTAATTTGTTTATGAATCACATTTCATTATAGTAGAACGTAAAAGGTTGCTAAAAAGTTGGAACAGATATAAGAATTATTCTATTAAAATATTATTATTCTTATTATTATTTTAATTTTAGACTAATGAATTGAATTCGTAGACTAAAAAAAGAGACATTATTAAAATAATATTTTAATAATTTGCCGTTAAATTGTTCCTTTTTTTAAAGTTACGTCGTCCTTTTACATTTTATTTTATGGCTCTCCTAAGTTAACAACCCTGTTTTAGCGTAAATCTGATACTGGTGGTGTTTTTTGTCACTTTTACTTCAAAATATGAAGTTTAGTGCAAAATGACGGAAGTGATGACAAATAAACACAATAACTCATAACTTGGCAGTTTATGTAGCAACCTTTTCCTTTTCAACACGCACAATTTAAAAATATAAAATATGATAGTCAAAATCTTGGATGCCTTGAAGCGCTGCTGGGCATTACACCTCTTCCTATAAGCATAAAAAAGAGGTATATATGAATGCACCCAGGTTGTCGAATATGGACAAACTAAAGCCGGAAAATTTCAGGGGCCGCGTAGAGGTAGTAAAAAAGATCATGGACCAGCCTTTTGTTGAGGTACCGGACTACTGCATCGCAAAGCTCTTATCATTTCAGAGCAACCATACCGGCCAGACCGTGTTAGGGCAGGCAACCTATTGAACCTAGGGCAAGGAAATAGTACACCGACGATTCAAAACTGGAAAATGGCAAAACTGGGCCTGGTATATGTAGCCGGAGCTTTCAGAAGGTTATACCAATGGGATACTCTCCTCCGATATTCCAAACAGAAATCTACTCAATCTGTAGTCAATCTGCCTTTGAATGCTTAAAGCAATACAAGAGAAAACTGATCAGCATTTACTTCGACAGGCAAGCCCCCTTAAAGGTCTCGAAAGAGCAAACAATAACATCTAGGCTGGTGTTGAACTGTTTTCAAACATTGATTGGGCCAGGAAGGCAACGTGCCGTGTACCTAAGTCGAGTGTCTATTCATTTGGGTGTTGAGGGCAAAGAAAGGGCTAACTGTCTTGCTAATAGGAGGTCCTGAAGTTTTCTGCGGCATATCAACAACCCATATTAAGAGACTGGTACCGCAATGGGCACAGAAAATATTGCATTACTATAGGAAGCAATGTGTATAACAATGGCGAAATTCATAAAATTTTACGCCATAGCGCAAATTGCTACTTGAACTAAGAAGAAAGCACCTACTTTTGGTCACAAGCTTCTACACAGATAATTCCCTCAGGTACCACCTAACAACATGGGTACTTCTGACACCCATTCATGAATATTTTGCCAAAGGGAGAATAAGAAGTCCCATCACGGCCTCTGCGAATGCGTGGCCATTTGCAGAATCACACACTGAGAGTTTGGCATGCACTTTATAAAGCTGTTCACAATATGGCGCTCCCAACCAAAAAAAGTGGCAGGAGTCATAAGAATCCCTAGCTAGAACACACGAGCAAGTACAACACATCTTTCAGATCGCGGTCTGGATTGTTCACACAATTAGTAATAATAATACACCTTTAAATTTGTTTATTTGCTTTAGTTTGTATTTTGCTTATTAAATTTTCTTCAATATTTTCGTTTAACAGAATCAACTTTTCCATCAATTTTTTTTTAAATATTTTATTTCTTTTTCTCATGTAAATAGTGTCCTTCATCTTCTTGCTCTTCAACGAACGAGAAATCTCATTCGAAACAAAAGAAATCGAGTAACATCAATCTGAAACGTGATTGTACAGTTTTTATATTTCGTAACATGCTATACTTCGATAGCGAGAACCTTTCCCAGCAGTTTTGCTTCTCCACCGTAAATTTGCTTTCTAAGCATGTTCGATCATTTTGATGTAATCAGATGTGATAATGGATTTTATATCGCGGTATTTCAATTTCGAGCTTATGTTCTAAATTAATTTAGGTAAGTGAATGTGGGTTGAATAACAAGGATAGTGTGTTATTAGTGTTCAGTAAAATAATTTTCTGACAGAACGGAGGCCCTGTAACTTTAAGGATAATCAATTCATTTGTGGTCAGAAGGCGGCGTCTTTTTGAAACAGGCATTACGCTAGGAATAACTCTCAGAATATTAATTGACGAAGTCGTTTTGAGATGTCTATATATTTTTCCGTATGTATCTTGAAAAGTTACGGGAAGTTTAGTGAGAAAATTCTATTTTTGAACAGACTAAGCATATATATATAGTTAGAGACTGTCCGAATGTTTGTTATAAGGTTGATTAGATTGCCCCCGGATTAGCCATCTCTAAAAACCTCTACATAGTGCCTTTGCAACGTTCTTCTGTCATTTATGCTTGTGTTAAGAAATCGAAATGCTGTTTTTGTTCTCTGATGCCTTTTATAAACAGATTTACAGATCTTTTGGTTTTTTATAGAATTAGAAAGCAAGTTGAGATCAGCACAGGAAATATAAAAAAGATTGGCTGACGAACAATGCTGTAGTTAAAACATCAAAGAAGCCATTAGGGTATTGAAAAAAGTGATATTTTTAATCGTGATATTCGTGCAACTTACAAGTTAAAAATGACGGAACTTAACTCGTTATCCTTGTCCTCATATAACTCAACTGCAGCATCGCTAACGACTAGAGCACATCTTAAAAAAGAACTTAAAATCCACAACCTAAGTTTTGCTTAACACAGTCATAAGCTTTGTGAGCAAGTGATGAACTGTATTAAAACACTGGTTAAAGAAATAAGGTTAAAGTTGGCAATGAAGTTTAAATCTTTGTCTGACGTACGTATCGGTGTAAGTTTGAAGTGTTGCCTTGAAACGATATTATTTGTGTAACGCTGATTTCTTTTCTTTGATTGTAATACATATATCAATTCATTAAACAAAGAGGGCATGCAAATCAGACCAGACGTTGGGACAGACGGTATTTTGATCTGGTTGCCAATCGGCAAAAAGTAAAAAATCTATAGAAAATGTCCAATATCAAAATTAGTGTGAAAATGAATACTCATTTTCAAATTGACTAATGAAAAATAGAATTTAAAAGTTTATTTAAAATTATTATGTCATCGGAAAGCTCTTACTATTACTAATTGTTCCATTGTTAAAAATTACCCCTTGCTTGCTCTGCAGGAGTAAGCTTTCGCATGAATATATCTATTGTGGGTAACTTCCCCAAGTTCAAGTATGAACTAACGTAAGCAAAGAGTTGGATAGATATATGCAATATGTAATAAGGGAATGAAAACGTAATTTGCATGAACAAAATCAAGGGATAAAATTTTAAATTCAAAAATTTTGCTAATCGTTTTAATAATTAAGTTGACTTTGCTTATTTCTCGATTCATTTCGTGTGAAAGTAAATCTGGCATTGCGTCGGCAATAGTGAACGTGGAAAATTTATTTACTTAACCATATAGATATACGCATTTAATTTATCGCTGCTTGCGCTGAAAATAAATCGTTGTTCGGTTTTATTATTTTTTTTTTTTTAGTTTCGATCTTGCGACCAAGGTCATAGGCAGGCTAAACCAAATGCCTACACAATATTCATCACAAGTCAATTACAGAAATATTCAGTTAATAAGAAGAATCCGTAATCGACAACTTCAAGTTAATCAACTAGACTTTTTTTCCTTTACGTGGAATTTAAATGGAAAAAATTGGACGAGAGCGAAAACGAAACTTTGAAGTTATTCTTGCAATCTCATTGCATCGAAAAAATGAAGCGATGTAGTAAGAAAAGTGAAATGAAAAGTAATTGAATACATAACTCGACATTTTTGAGAGATTAAATTGTTTTCAGGAAATTTTCTTTTCTTAAAAACATTTTGGTCGCACACGAGGTGACACTTTCCTTAAAAATTGAATATCAAATATTGCGATTGATACAAAATGAAATGAATTGATTTACAATACTACAGCTCCTTTCAATTTGAAACGTAGAAGCGTTATACATATGTATATACAAGATGTACATAAAATTTCCTAACGAAAATTGAATTAAAAACCATGAAATTTACAATTTTCCATTCCCGTCATTAAGCTATCTATATATGTGCGTTTTTTGTTAGACCGCAATAGTCACAGCTGCAGCGGTAGCCGTAATCTAACCCTGCACGGCTTATATTAGCAACGCATCACAATTTTATTGGGTGGAATTTTCAAAGTAAATTTCATGCCGTTTTCGTTTTTTTTTTTTTTTTGTTTGCAATTTTTTTTGTTTTGCTCTTCCATCATCTTCTTTAGATGTTTAGAATATACGCTTATTCTCAAAGCGGCACAATACATGCAAAACAAATGAGAACGAATATACGCTTATTCTCAAAGCGGCACAATACATGCAA